GTCTAGCTTAAGCTTTTGAGTTTGGGGTTTAGGGTTTACGGTTAAAAGTCATAAGTTATAAGGCGTCGAGTCGACAAGAGCTTAGGGAGGGTTTGGGGTGTAAGGCAACGGTTTTATGTTCTGCTTCAAGCTTAGCGCCTGCGGGGTTCAGGGTTGGGTGTGAGGCTAAAAGTACAGATTAAGGGGAACACGCCTACGTTATAGGGTTTGTGGCTTGCGTAGGGCTTGCGTAAGATCCCGGCCCTCTCTGTGATTCCTGGCCGGCCCCCACCCCTCCATGGAACCCCCCCCCCACGTGCGGTGTGGGGTCCCCGTTCAGGGTTCAGCTTAAGCTGTTGAGTTTAAAGGTATAAGGCTTCGAGTCGACAAGGGTTTGGGGTTGGGGTGTAGGTTGGTTGGGTTGACGGTATGTGTTCTGCTTTTGTAGAGCCTGCGTTTAGGCCCAACCTCGACTACAGTATGACTAAGGGGAGGGACGAGGAAGCAAATTGTCGACAGTATCGTTGAAAACAATATCGCTATACTTGGAAAGGATATAACTATCACAAAATTAAAACAACAAAAAACACAATAGACACTACAATCTCGATCCCTATGCACAAACTACAAGAAATCCGCGAAACAACAAAAACCAACAAAACCAAAAGCAAGAAAAAATAAGACTATGGTCCGTAACATAGGCCTAATATTTTTGGTGTGTTTGGTTTTTGCTTTTTGGTTTTATTGCTTTGTTTGGCATTTTGGGTTTCGATTTAATACATAGTTTCTGCAAAACCAAACAAACCAACAAAAAACTAAAAAACTAATATTCTAAAACACAAGCCAAAAATGGATTTTATTCTTTACGATGCTTCTACATGCAGGTTCGAAACTAATCCATTTCCATATTGCTATGCATACACCCTCTGTGCACCTTAAATATACCAAATATACCTTATAGAATATACTCTAGAATACCTTTTGGGATACCCCTAAGATGACCTTACAGAATACCCTATAGCATACGTTATACATAACGATTTCAATAAGGAAAACCAGGAGGACACCAGAATCTGAGAACTCACCAACTAAATTGCAGCTTATTGAATAAGGGATTGCTAAGAAAGACACGTCAATCTAGGAGCATTGCCTACAGAATACCTTACACAAAACCAATCTACAACCCTTCAAGCCATTCATACAAAATACGGTAATACCGTAAAGACTACCCCCTATGTACCTTGTATATCTTATTGAACACCCTGTAGCCTATCTGATACGACACATCTTAAATACCGTATAGTTCCTGTATGTACACTCGACAGGATAGCGTACACAATGTACGGAAGACCCTATAGAATACCCGATAGAATGCACGATAGAATATGTTATAAATTGTTCCTATATATGTCCTTTATATAATACCCTCAAAAATACTTTATAGAATACATTCTAGAATAGGCATGTATGGCTTATATATACCCTATATGAAATGTAATGCCAGCAGACTGTACTGCGCAGACATCATGTGAGAGAGCAAACGCAAGCAGCAATGATCAGGGTTGGTCGATAGTGGGGGCTAGCATATATATATATATATAATTATCTGCCGCGGCACCGAGTGAGCCCTGGAAGGTGGACACATCCTGCTCGACGCTACGAAAGGCTTCTGTCACACCGGAGTGGGCTGTCGTAGTGTAGTACAGTCTAGTATGCATAGTGTAGCGTAGTATACTGTACTATGCTATGCTATATTATACTGGACTGGGCTGGACTCTACCATACTGTACTATACCCGGCACTCTCCGACCCCGAACAGCTTCGGATCAACCAGGATCCTCGATCTTGCGCCCGAACAGCAGTGTCGCACTGGTCCTCGTCTCAGGGAGGTTGAAGCGTCGGGAAGTTGGGGACTTAAGTTTGCAAAGGGTTGCGCTGCTTGCTGCTCTGATGTCGATGATGTGCACCACTATCCTGTCTGATGCTATCACGACGCTGAATACAATGACGGATTCATTTGCCCATTGCGATTGCTACCCCACAATTATTCGACCTTACTGCTACGATTCCTGGTAACGCCATCATAACCACTATTCTCATATGTAGTACTGCGACACTGACTGTCTGCTGGGACAGCGGCCATGACTACGTATTACTTGACGGTCCGACGTGTGATCTCCAACCTGTCGCTGTTACAATCACGATCACTATCACTCTGACTGTTTCAACTTACTAGTGCTAAAGCTGTTAGCACTATAATTCTAGCCCCAGTCCTATGACTTTTTTTTAAACCCTAAACTCAAAGCTAGATCCGCGCTTCGAGTCGTAGGCACTAAACTACTTCTGACTACTATGACATTGACAAATACAATAGCAGCACTGTTCTCACTGTTGGCATCTCACCTGAGACATTGCTGCTGTTGTTGGCAGAAGCAGACACTGGTATCCGGCACATGGAAAGAACAGGGGTGTCCCCAAGCGGGCAAGCTCGGGTTGCAAGGCGGGATTGTGGGATTCCGAAAGAGATGAGGTCAGAACAATGCACGGGGGGAAATTAAGCTGGGTCCTCTACTAAGACTGGATCCTCTACTTGTTGATGTCAACACAACATACCGGGCGCGAGACCGTGTTTGTTTTCTACAATACTTGAAAGAACATCCTCGTTTCCGATAGGTGTTTCTGGGAGGCTGCGAGTGCGACAAGATATGGAAGAGAAGTCCTTATTGCAATGGAACCATTTTGTAGCTTCCACGGGGTTCTCTTAACAAGCATTTACCAGACAATCTGCTATGGCATTTGCTTAGGGACAAGCACCGCACAGGGCAGATTTTGTCTGTACTTTCTTATCACAAAACAACACCCGGAGTTGCAGCAACCCCTCTTTTGCTAGAAACGACCCAGACTTTGTTTCTTCTACAACCTGTTGTATGAGAAGGCAGCAGTTGCTAATCGTTGCTGTTGTCTCCATTCTCATTGCTACGACACTGTTCATGGTCGTCATGACCAGTTACTGGACTACGTACTGTTCTTCCCAATATCTCGATCACACCTGAGCACTACCTTTAGCACGACCACTTTGTCATTGTCATTGTGTCGGCTTCAGCTCTTGCTGGAAGTGGTGTTCGTTACTCTTGCGTGCTGATTGCTACTGTTGCTGCTGTTGTTGTCGTTGTCGTTGTTGCTGTTGTTGCCGTTGCCGTTGTCGTTGTCATTGTGGTGGTTGTTGTTGCTGTTCTTTTTGTGGTTGTGGTGGTCGTTGTCGTTGTGTGATTGTGGTTGCTGCTGCTGCTCCTGCTGGTGGTGTTGCTGTTGTCGTCGGTCTTCTCCTTCGCTTTGATGTGTCAGTACTGGTGTTGCATCAAAGCTTTGATGCTGAAACTGTTACGGCTGTTGCTAGTGGTAGTGTTCCTGACATACGATAACGACAAGGTGTTCGTCCTGAGTCTTGCTGCTGGGATTCAAAGACCCCAGACCTGCCCCCAGCTGGGCTGTCTACCGGTGACTGAGGCATGGGCACATAGATCAAGAAGGCCGGAATAAAGACAACAATGAAGTGAATGATCTCCTGGGCGCGCAAAAATGTAATCATAACTCTGTGTAGCCATCCTCTACAGCAATTAGATTGGAAGGCAGCAAGGCAACAAGCACTGTTGGCAAACGAAACCCTTGCAGCAGCCAGCTCTGGGCAGTTTCAGTTACAGCCTGAGACCTCGGCAGTTTCAGAAAGTACAGGACAAAAAGACCCTGAATAGCCAGATCCTCACGATAAAGATCCCGAAACAGACATGCTCGCGCAGCTATGCACACAAAAGCGCACTTTTGCGGAAAGAATCGGCAGGCAGTAGGTATGTCTGGTTTCGCATGGAACAGAACAAAACGGATGCAAGAGACTACCTGCAACCCCACCGATTTGGGCGGAGTGGGAGGGTGCTAAAATTCTTCAACTTCGAGCGGGAACACTGCACACATGCAAGCATTGCTCGTCATATGTCATTCCGTGCACAAGTACACTACACGACATACTCGCACAGCTATGCACACAAAAGCGCACTTTTGCGGAAAGAATCGGCAGGCGGCGGTAGGTATGTTTCTCTTCGCATCGAACAGAACAAGACGGATGCAAGAGACTACCTGCCACCATAGGTGCGACGCCTGCAGCCATCCCCTCGCACCTACAAGCCCTGAAAGCCCCTCAGAGGTCCTTGTAGACAGGTGTCGAGCAGGCCACGCAGCAGCTCATCCCAGCTGAACTCGAATCGCTGCCAACCCAAGCTCTCTGCCAAGCTGAAGTCGCCCCTGCTCACCGAGTCTGAGACGTTTGCAGAGCTAGGCATGCACGTTCACCTTTTCAGTGAACACCCACGCGGCCAGAAGCAGCTTGTTAATGCTCTCATCCTTCCCATACCCCGTAACGAGGGCATGCTTGAATGGCTCATTGTCCACAAAGAGGACAATGACGGTGCAAGCGCTGCTCCAAAGCCACAAATCAAGGACCGCCTGCTACTGAAATGACATGCAAACCAGTAGGGCACAAAACCATGGGCAAAGCAAGTGATCTCCCCAACGCTCACAACGAAGCCTAGGCCGCTCACAAAGGACGCTGGGCTCGTCTTGCCCCAGTCTGGCGCGCTGTCGGCCTCCGACAGCTTGCAGCTCAGGCCCCCAAGGTTGAAGAAGGCATCGGCATAGATCACCGAGCGGTAGTCCACGTGAAAGTGCAAGATGCGTGGCTTTGGGTTAGCTAGTCTGAAACGCAAAACGGCGATTGTGGACTTCAACCCCAAACTTGGCTGCCAACCCTGCTGCTGCTGTTGGTGAAAAGGACGAACTGCTGCAACGCTTGCCTTGCCAAACATCGACTGCGCAAACAACTGAAGCTTCCCAGCAATGGCAGATGCTTGACGTGGCGTCAGCTTGTCATCAAGCAAAATTTGCAGCAACATGGAGTCAGACGCTGCCTCCGCTCATCACTACACTCAACAATGGCCTTGTCACCCTCGAGGGAAAGGGAAACTCCCAAAAGCTTTTGCGGCTTCGCTGGCGGCAAGGCCTTGTTCTTTGAATTTGAGGCCCAGCGCACGGCAAGTTGCCTTGGTCTGCGTGAACGCAGAGGTACCCGTTGACGTAGGCTCGTTCGAACCAAAGTCATCCACGAAGTGCAAGAGGGGAACCAAGAGAAGTGCCCTGCACATCCAAGCCATGAGGTCCGCCACCCCCACAGAGACGCAGTGCTCCCAAACATGAGGACATTATGCCGCCACAAAGTTGGTCCGCTTGGGGTTGACAGCACCACCCATGTGTGACCTGGATCGGCCGATGATCGGCCACCGGCAGTTGCCGGCATGCTGCTTCGTGATCGAGGCCCCACAACTCCATGTCCTCGTCTGGCGACACCACAGCCCTCAAAGATCTCGCCAACTGCACAAACGCCGTGATGTCGTGGTAGGCGGGGGAGTCCGGCACTCCGACTGTAGAATTTGCCCCTGAACTACGCCAACTGCTCGCCGTACTTTGGGACGACCATCGGCCTCGGGAAAGTGAGCAGAAGTGAGAGCCACCAAGTCGCTCTCAGACTCCCACAACAACACGCGACCCTTCCACGACCTTTCATTGCACATCTGCTGAAACACCAACCCCGCAGTGCCCACGCCATCGAAGAAGCTCAAAAGGATGGCATCAACAGACTGGACAGGTACCACGTCATCAGGCTCCCGCTTACGAATCTTTCGCTGAAGAGGCTCACGAGTGTCATGCTGCTTTCGCTTCTTCTCGAGCTCCGCACTGCGCACTTCAGCTACTTCAGCTGCTGAGACTAAATGTATCGATGATAGTTGGGCGACAGGGTCGGGTCCGCCCGACACGGGAGTCGGCTCGGACGGCCCGCGCTGTCCCTAGCGAGCTGCGATCACGGTCACCCTGCGCGTACTGGCTCTGCTTCTGCTGCCACGAAGGCGAAGACCACGAAGATCCCTGCCAAGACGACGGTGACGACCACTGGTGCGAAGTCCAGTCGTAGGGGCCTGGCCGCCATGCATCATAACGCCTTTGCGGCTTTGCGCGCACGGGTTTTGGTCTTGCCCTTGCCCTTGCCTTTTCCTTCCCACTGACCACGGAGTTGACGACCGAACTTCTCCGCCGACACGAACTCCTGGAAGTCGCATCCTGGAGGGCCTGGTTGTCGAGGATGATCTCTTCCGTGACGGTCTTGAATTAAACTCTGCTTGGCCCGCAACGCAAAAGGGCAATCCGCCAGGAGGTAGTTTCCCAGTACACGCGCAACTGCTGAAGCTTATGTGGCCTGGAACGCACCTGCCTCTCAAACCAATCGAAGTAGCGCCCGACGGCCGCCCTCGCTACCCATCTCTACCAACATCATGAGGAAGCGGATGGAATCCAGGCAGTCCAAGAACGCAAGCACACTTTTTGGTTGCCACGGCGCCTCAGCCTCAGTTTCGATCTGGTAATCGGCGTTCCGGGTCAAAACGGCGGCCTGTGCCTTGTTCTTTTTCTTGGCAGCACCCAATGGATTGGGGTTGCCCGAGGCGTCAAAATTCCTGGACTGCACAATCTCACGCAAACCCATCTCATGCACTACACGCGCAGCAACTGCCTCCGCACCAATGAGCTTCTCCTGGCGCCAAGCTTCACGGCCTCAAACTTGGCGATCTGCTGCTGCCAGTACCCACCCGGGAGCTCCTTGGACGAGGACTTGGGGGTCGCTGTTGCTACAGATACCGCTGCCAGTGACGCTGTCGTAGATGGCTTAGGTTCGGGGTTGCAGTCTTGGTTACACTTGCGCCACAGGAAACGGAGCTTGGCCTTCACTACAGGGGACTCGAGCTTGGAGAGCTTGATCTCTGGGCCATTGGGAACACGAAAGGTCGAGGACAGCGGCTCAGCCAAAATCTCATCCAATGCCAGGACTTCAATCGACGTTATATCCCGGCTGAGGATGTACTGCTGCACGTTCTCGGCCAAGCCGGCATCGCACATGGCCTGCGCCAAAGGACCCGTCGCCTTGGACCTTGGACATGACCTTTGTCAGACAGACTAGAAAGACTTGCAACTACGACTACTTCTTATTGCTCAAGCAAAGCTTCGGCGACAAACCATGACATGCACTCATCAAAGAATGGACATGACATTACCCACGGCTCCCCCATTGACTTGTAGTGCTGCAACGCTCTGCACGCAACCATTGGCAATGCTCACCGACCATCAGATCGCAAATATGAGATGCGAATACGGCTGTAAGTCCACTTCACTGTTCTCCAAATCTCCCTGGCGCACGCGCGGCGCTCATGTCTTTTTTATACACCCACTAGCGCATGGGCGGCGCACCAACCAGGGAACCTACCGGAAAACGAAAGGACTTAGCAACAAGGCAACTAACTGCTTGTTCAACCCTCGCTCGCAGACTCCGAAGAGGTTGCTGACCTGGAGCTTTCCGAAGCGCTGATGTCACTGGTATCATTCTGAGCTTCTTCGACTCCTTTCGAGAAGCACCTGCGACAGCGAGTCGCCGCATGATCTTCACAGCCATACCTCCAGCAACCACAAGCTGTTGTCCAGTGAATGGGGAGTTTGTCGACCTCGCTCGGGTTCCTGGCATGCGCGAGCTTTCCAACTACCAGTGGCGGACGGGCCTGCAACGCCTCAATCCTTGCAGAAAGTCTCTCTAGGTTTTCAGTGATCTTATCATAGCTTGGCATGCTGGAGCCCCCAACCGCAACGGGCTGCGGCGCACCACGGACGGACGGGCCCACAGCAGGGCCAGGGCCGCAGCCACTTCCGAATATGTTGGTCTCTTATACTGCCTCCTGCACATACCCCCCATCTTCCGAGAAGCATGATGGTGGGCAACGGGATCAGGCACCTTGCGAAGAACTGCGCACCAGAAACTCGAAGAACATGTTGGTTAAATCGCTCCAGCGACTGCTGTCCCTAAGCGCCAGCACGCCGCAACTCAACCTTGCTTTCACCATCTTTCACCCAGCACTTTCCGGATCACTCACAAACTAAGGAGCCTCCGGATTACGCGGGCGGGTTTCTCGACGCAAGGCAGCATGAAACGGGCACAATCGCGCCGAAACATATTGGCAGTAACACTGATGCTTTCTTTGTACTAAGTTGCCCTGCCCTGCAGATCATTCTTGCTAGAAGCGAGCGTCATAGCCACCTCCCTGCAATCTCAAGCTCGCGCAATAGGAACCAACATCCCAAGACGGCCACCGACACAGCTTGTCTCCTGGCCGCCGAAACTTCTTCTGAAGGCTGCGGCAGCACCAGATCACTCCCTACGGAACGCATCCTTGAGCGCAGGGCCACCGATCCCTTCGTTCAATTGATCGAATGGCATCACGCATCTTGAGCAGGACTTCCGGCGGTACGTCATTCTTCATCTGTAGCACGTGTTCACGTCGGGCTCGAGCAAAGTGTTGCCTCGCAGAACGGTAACCGGCCTCTTTCAACGACGCCGACACCTTTTCCACACTCTCCTCCACTGGTCGAAAGACAGCGGCAGCACCAACAGCACCAGGAGGAACACGAATGCAACGACCAAGAAACGAGAGGGCACGACACTTGCGAAAATTCTTCAACTTCGAGTAAGCACACTGCACACATGCAAGCACTGCTCGTCATATGTCATTCCGTGCACAAGTACACTACACTACCCAAATTTAAGATACGCCCACACTTGACCAGCTTTTGGAAGCCGAGGGACCACGATCAGCGCACCCAAAGTTTTCGTGATGATGGCCAGCTGCGGCTGCGCCCGGAAGTTGGCGAAGAAGCGGAATCTCGGTTAAAGGAAAAGCAGATGAATGCACTCTCTTGAAACATATGTATGTTCTTGTACATTGTTCTTGTACATGTGTAAATGTACGTCTATATGTATGTGTATATATATATATATGATGCCAGGATAGATCCCCAAACAGTGATAGAGCATCACAAACACCAGACCACAACGACCACGACGTCACACGGCCACGACCACCAAGACCACCAGCACCACCAGGACCACCACGACGAGACTACGACGACGAGCACGACGACCACCACCACCGCCAATGTACTGGCAGGAGGCAGGACTACTCCGCTATTTTCTTCCCCGGACTGGGCCCGACGAATCCTGTGCACATAATAGGACATGAGCGCAGAGCATGCACCAATTCTGCTTGCATCCAGTGTAAAAACCCCATACAGGTGCTTTGGGGAAAGCAAGAAAACTGAATGAATGACAGAACAAGAGGTCAGCAATGCACACATACGTATGCCGTAGCATGCCTATATCTCTGCAATTTAACTCTTCTCTTGCAGAGGAAATGGGGCCATTCATCTTTTGCTGAAGCAAACACGACCGCGAACCCGGAAGCCAGCACCCTGGCACCTCTTTCTAGCCATGGAGGGACTCTGCACCACAAGGGAAAGGTAAGCTCGAGCACTTTGAACCCATAGCCCTTGACACGACGGCCAAATGTATCCCTAAACCCTAAACCTCTGAATGCAGCCGCTGTGACGTGAGGATCAGCGTGTAGTTGGCGGCTAGTAAGCGAAGGCTGAGGATGTCTTCTGCTGCAACTTCACCTGAATGCTTCGTCCAATAAAGGTAAGCCTGGCTTCTTCAGAATTGAGTTATGGGCTGCATCATAATACAACAGTATAGGTATCATTATTGATAATGGCTCGAACGCCATATCCATCTGTACCCAGATATAGATATATATATATGTAGACACACACACACCCATATACACATGTATGTGTATATATATATACACACACACCTCACCACTTACCAGTAAAGAAGCTTTCGAGGCTTTCGACTGCGTCTTTCAGGGATTAGGGTCCAGGGTTAGGGGTGAAGGTTGAAGCCTTAGGGAAAGACAAAGAAAGCTGAAGTTGAATCGAGGGAAGCCTCTCATGTTCGCCAGACATCTCGGCAAAGGCTTCAGGAATGGGGAACGGCTTTCGTTCTTCATATTGCTCTTTGAGAAGAACTAATTAGGTTGGTATGCAGTCAGAGTATGTTTACTGAGAACCCTTTGCCGTTGCTGTATATACCTGCGCATGTAAGCACATCGCATCCACGGGCGACCCGGACCTTGGCTTGGTGAAACTTGACAATACTTGACATTTTGTATGTCTTTTCATTACTCATTTCGGGCGGCGGCCCCATTACACCCCCTGATCTCATGATGCTACCCGGGCCTCCTACGCCGTGCAAGAATCAAAGACATGTGATGCTTCAGAAGGGATCCAAAAACCATCGTCCCTGCAAGCCTCCAGCAGACACACAGTGTGCCAAGCCAGCGTTCAACTGGGTGCGTGCATACTAGGGCCGCGGCAGATATCAAACATCCGCTCAATCACCTTGGTGGTCAGATCTCGGCTTGCATCTCCCTCGCTAGTTTTTGAGGTCGGGCCAATCTGCAATTGTATCACCTTATAGTCCCTGCTTTACTATACGACGAAAACCCAGTGACCCCAAACCCTAGTCTAGTTCCCAGGGCCCTTTTCGAAAATCCTACGCCACCTATAGCAACCCTTGAAAGAACCCTTTAAACTCGTGGAATAAGGTTTAGGGCAGTTTAGGGTTTAGGGCTCGGGGCCAAGTCACGGATTGGTCGTCATCACTGACGTCCCAGCCCTTGGCACGAATCTCATTGACAATGTCCGTCGTCCGCTCCTGCTCTGCGACTGGCACGAAAGCTAGTCAAAGGGTAAAGAGCTGCAAAGGCCGAATGCCGAGGCGGGGAACTCTGTGCGTCCTTGGTCTGGAAGACAGCGTAGAACTGGTAACCTCGGCATGCAAGACATTCAGGTAAACCGTGGAAACCAACACTAGGCTCTGCTTGGGGGTGCTTGCTGCAGGGTGTTTTGTACAACACTCCTAACCGATTCTCAAGAACTTGCACATGTGTTCCTAAGCGAGAGCGCAGGCCATGGGGTCATGTGCGTTGCGGCCGAGTGGCAGAAGTATATGCCAACGATGATCACAGCAAACTCTAAGATAGACCTGGTTAGGAGCAAAGCCTTTTTGTAGTTATTGTGCCGGAGCTGTGTGAGCGGCACGGCTTGGCTTAGCTTGCTTGTTCATCGACTGGGATACACAGTGATGCAAGGTGCATGAGATGCGCAAGTGACGACTTTTTTGCGTGCTCTTCGATGCTACGAGGCTGGAGGGCCTTCATGCATCTAGTTACCACGACATCTAACAAGATTGCTTAACGGGCAAGCCCGTGGTCGTCCAGAACATCCGCTGCCAATGCATTTCAACGGGGGCTCGTGCTCGCACCGTTGTTGATTCGACAACCACGGTACTCGAAAGCAAATCCGCAGCAAGCCACACTTGCAACAACCACAGTAATCGATTTTTCAAAGAAGGAAACAGAATCCTTGCAACTCTCAGCGTTTGGTTCGGTGATCAAGCCAGAGTCCACGACCTGCGACCTTGCTTTCAGGGACTACGAGCCCTGCCTGATGTCCATGAAGTGCTGCACCAGCTTTCGCTCTCGAGCAGCCCGCCAGAGAACGACCATCTGCAACGCGCCTGGGGGCTCAGGCTCCTCAGATCTGGACTTCCCCCCGACCGCACATGCCAAGGCCAGAACCAGTGAAGACAAGAACGCAGAAGAAGAGGCCATCTGCGACCTGAGAGGAGAACCCAGGCGGCAAACACTGGTAACCAGTCACAGGCTAAGCTTTCTTCTTCCCCACTTCTCGATGTCTTCACTGACATGGGCGACAGGCACCCGCAAGGACTTTGCTGCAGCGTCACCATGGAAGACATGTTCGGAAAGACTTCGAAGAAGACGGCTTGGAAGTCGCGCTGGTAGTAAATGCCTGATTGCCGCAACGGTGCTGCACAAGTGTGCCACACTAGGAAGACTGAACTTTGATAGCCTCGCAGCTCTGTGCTGCCTTGAGCCACAGCCCACCCCAGATTCACGGACAATGCCCTTTGGCTCCTCTACTGCCGCTGTTCTCTGGAGGGTCTGCCAAGCCACTGCCACCGGTACTCATGAAGAATGTCAGGGTCACCTGCGAAACGACGGAATTTCGGGATGGCTCTTTGGGCCGAGTCCTGGGACGCCGTGGCTATGGAGAACTTAGGGCTTTGGGTTCCGAGATGCTGAGAGTGAACAAAACAACTGAAGGAATAAGTCAGACTGTGTCCTGAGTGCAACTCGGCTGCCTGCTCCATGTTTGGTTGGCCCAGCTCTGCATTCAGCAGGTACAGCCCTTGGGGAGAGGGGGAAATACATGTGACAGATGCTCTAGCATCCGTCGAAACGAAGTGAAGGCTGAAAACAAGCAAGTGCATGCAAGCTGCGGATCTGCAAGACCTCAGAATCCTGCTGCCGGGCTGGTTCAAGTTGGAAGTCGACTCTTTCAGAAACGCTTTTACATGGAAACCATCCAACCTATCGCAAAAATGCACTCATCTGCGCACGGTCCTTGTCCATCCACACACGATCGCGGAAGTATTGCAAGCGCTCTGCTGTCCGTGACGCGGACTCGGATGGATACAAGTAGAACCTGCACACGAATCTTGAACTGGTTTGGAAATCAACACAGCAGACACAGGAATGAAGTCAGCAGTGTCTGGAATCAGTCTATCGATGCCATACTTCTGTCGGTTAACGCTAAACCGACCACCTCCATCATCACCACCGCTACTTTCTTCGTCAACAGCAACATCCTCATCGTCGTCATCATCTCCGTCATGATTCCGCACGAATGTTAGCACTGCTTAGGCTATGCTGCCGTTACTGCTGCTGCAGATGCTGGGCTGCTGCTAATGCCACTGCGGCTGCTACCGCTGCTGCTGCTGCTGCTACTACTACTGCTGCTGCTGCCACTACTACGACGCAACTACAGATTCCGCTGTGCACAACACAAGGGCTCAGGGTCCGCACGAGGCCCCAAGGCCTTCTGCTCTCCGGGTCGCAAGCTCTGATGGAGCAGGGATAAAAAAAACAAACGTAGAGGCAGCTATGATAGCATCGGAGCCCTGGCCATCCCTCATTCTGAGCATAGTCTAGTATAGTAGGTTATGCTGTATTACGACCCTATTACAGAAACCTGCGATGCCGAGATCAGGGCCTGAAGACGTGCATTTCGTCTGTCTTTTCGTCTGGTAGCGAAGTCCTTGTGTCAAACGGGTGTGTGCCGAAGCCTACACTTAAACACATCACATAGCACGACCAGATGGCAGAAATTCGACGCCACAAGGCGCAACCTGCAGCTAAAACCGTTCAACAAGCTCTGGCACCTGTTTGGACAAGGTAAGCTTAGTTTTTCATGATGAGGATTTCCAGGGTCGGTGTTGGGAGACAAACTTCTTTCCTGTGTTCAAGATGTTCAGGTTGCCTGTGACGCATGGATGAGGCAAGGGTTGTCCGGTTGACGGCATCAGAGTAGTTGTTCTCCACAATCAACTCTTTTTTACAGTTCTCTTCGGTATTGGCCCTGGCTTCATCCCAAAGGCTTTGGGGTGTGCGACGCTCTTCTGCAAAACAGGGTTGAAGCCATACGACCTGGCTGAGTATCGCCCTTCCTGGGCTGCCTACAATTAAAGCCCTTCACAGAAAGTTTATTCTCAAGATGTCTGCACAGCCCAGCTCGTCAACCCCTGAAAGCCTGAAGCCTAAGTCCCTAAAACCCCGAAACTCTAGGGTCAGGGCTTGGGGTTTCGGGAGGGGGGGAGGAGGGCTTGGGGTTTCGAGGTTCAGGGGCCCAGGCCGTGCTTTTCGGCCCCAATCCCGAAACCTTCCGCCCAAGGCGCAGCATCGACGGCTGAAGCTGCGAGAGTTCTCGGCCCGGCAACCTTGGCATCGAAGGGCTCAGGAGATCCTGTAAAGGTCACTTTAGGTCCACTACAAGGCTTCCTACAAGGTACCGTAGAAGTCACTCTAAGGTACTGTCAGCTTTACTGTCAGGCAGCGTAGGGGTCAGCAGAAGGTAGAACACAGGTTTCTGCAGAATAAGGCACTCTAAGCTCCGAGGTTCGGCACTAAAAGGGCTACGACTCGTGGTTCTAGGGTTTGACAATAGGTTATTCTTCTTGGGGACGGTAGGGCGATTCGTTGTGCCTTGGACTGCTAGTGTTTCCAGCTTAGGGTTGTTGAGGTTTCTTTGAGGTTCGAACTAGTGTCAAGCCTTCCAAACCCCACCCTGACGACCAAGCTCTTGTAAAGTCTGGGTCAGGCGAGGCGTGATAGACAATTAGAGACAAAGACTTCATAACCACCACAGGGTCATGATGCAAGGCGGAAGCTACCTTGGTCCCAGGATTCAAATGTTGTCTTGAGCATGAAAGGCTTCAGTACAGCGTGGTCCGCGTGGTGGTGTGTGCTTTGAAGGCTGTCGGACGGCAATCCTCCCACTATTCTCGCTAAGGCTCCCCTTGCACACTTGTGGGCTCGAAACACAGAGCCAGAGAAGGGTCGGAACAAACAGTAAGAGTATCCCCGTGTGTATATATATATGTATATAAATATATATATATATGTAAATATATATATATATGTAAATAAATATATATATATATATGTATATATATATATGTATACATATATATATATATGTATGTACATATAACCCGTAATGTAAGTGTAGTGCAATACACCCCCAAGCCCCATTCTCACTGTCAGGACCCCTTAGACTCTTAGAGGCGCCAAGCTGCAGTGCCTGCTCCATGCCCTCCTCCTCAAGCCTGCCAAACAGGAGCTCAGCACGGTGGGCTGAGGGGTTTGAAGACTTGACCACAGTCCCAGTGAGGCATGAAGCGATAAAGACATAACGCTTTTAAGAGACTGTCAGGTTGCGAAAACAGGCACAACTGAGATGCTTAGCACCTTGCAAGACCTTTAGAATCGTAAGTCGTCAGCACGCAAATCCGCCCCATGTGGCGCATGGCTCAGGTGCTCTCTGCAGAAAGCCCGCATCTTAACTCGAAACCCTAAACCCTGAAGCTGGTCAGATGAACAGCTCAGCTACGACTGGCCTTCGAGTTGAAGTCCAATTGCCGCCTAAGTCACCCAGGGACTTGCCACGACCCCACTAGGGGTATGTCAAATTCATGTATCTCTACTCGCTATATGCATGCGTGCACATATATATATATATGTATATGTATATATATATGCAGGTATGTGTATTTACACAGAGGGGGAGTTATTGTTGATCTATCTAAATGTACATTATCTCTACAGCTATATGTATATTTATGTTTATATGTGTGTGTGTGTGTAGATGTAGATGTATTTGCTTAGTCACTTACTCGTTCATTCGTTTAGTTACGTATTTATTCCTTCATGCAGAATAACACTATCTATATCTAGCACATACCTATGACATATTTTGAAAACGTATAGTATATGGTATACTTTTTAAATTATACATGATACATTATGTGTTACACTATATATATAACATTATGTGTTACACTATATATATATATGCGCACACGCACACTATCCAATATACTGTTATATAGTTTGCATTAAATGCTATATATATATACATACACCATACTGTACAATAATGTATTGTATATATTACAGGGTAAGAACATAGATACAGATTACATAATACATAATACATATGTGTATATATATATATACATATAATATTTTACATACGTATACATACATACCTATATTAAACGATGTATATGGTACTATATTATATTATGCTGTATGATGCTACACTCTATGTTATAACATGTTGTATCATTTTATATTACATTACATTTTGCATAGTTATACCGTACGATACTGTATTGTACTGTTTTATATTTTATTATATTGTCATATCTTATATTGTACTATATTATGTTCTATTACATTATACGTTATATATTGTGTAGTAAATGGTGGAAATAAATCCTACCATTAACGAATATATACCACATTTTAATATGTGATAATCTCGTCGCTTCTCTTATTTGATAGTAGATCATATATGCGATACCATATTTCGTATAATACATGTGTGTATGTATGTATGGAT